AATGGCACCAACTACTTCACTGGAGAGACGGGCGTCCGGCTGGACTACATCGCCCTGCACAAGAAGGTGTCTGCGAGTTAACATGAATGACCGTGATCATTTTTAGCAAGGCATGACTCAAAGGCTATTCAGTCTTATTTGAGTAGAGTTGCTGGGGTACGTGACATCTGTGCGTAAGTAGAAGTACAGATATTTGTGTAAAATTTTTTTTTTCATGAATTAAAAAAGACCTGTAAATGTAGAAGTACATTCACCACAAATCGTTCTTAGAGCCCACATCATCAAGCAATTGTCATGAAGATAACGATTAATGGGGAATATTTTTCTCGCTCAAAACTGTCATTCTCGTGATTCATGCTCCCTGGTTCACATTTCCTACTGCCGCTGCTGTCCCTAAAATGTCTGCCGTAAAAGACACGAAAAAGAGCTCACCCATGGTTGACTTTTTTATTTTGCACATATTTTGCCTTCATTTTCTTCCAGGGAGCAGGCTCCTCTTTGCCTATCCTCCAGCAGGAGATGCAGACCATGGGAGAGATCCAGGAGCGTTTCCCTCGGTTCCGCAGTCGGCCTGTGTACAATGATGAGGCCGATCCGCTGGTGGGCTGGTCTCGGCCTCAAGAGTGGAGAGCGGATGTCACCTATGCTGCCATGGCCGTCAAGGTAACGAGCAATGACCAAGCATCGCCACAGAATTTTGAAGGAGATCGGGATGAACGAACATGAGACCTGATGGTCATGTGGTCAAATGGCTTGCGATGAGCCAAAGTGAAACATTCCTGCATGGAAAATAGTGCCGCCGGACCACGTATTATTACATCCAGCGCCTTGATGTCGTAAACCGAGGGCCCCCAATGTTGCATTAGAAAATGTAAGCGCATTCTAATTGTGTCTGTGAACAGGTGATCAGCCAGCATCAGGATGTGCTGTCTGCAAACACAAGCATCAACTACACCCTGCTGAGCAACGATAACGCCTTCCTCAGCTACCATCCTCACCCCTTCACCCAGCGCACTCTGACCGCTCGCTTCCAGGTCAACAACACGCAGCCTCCTCACGTGCAGCTCATCAGGAAACCCATCCTCACTGTCATGGGCCTTCTGGCTCTGCTCGGTACTGTGGACCTGCTGGACTTACGTTGATTCATATATTGCATCAGTCTGGTTCTTTAATCCTGAATTGTTGCGCTCAATTTTGACAGCAATTTAAAAAAAAAAGGTATTCTTTAACCCTGGAATATGATGCACACAAAAATGAAAATGTTAAACTGTTTCAGATTTGACTCGCATCCCCTAAAATGGGTTCGAGATTCACCACTGTGTAGCGATGCAGCGATGAATCGGCTAACTAACAACTAATCGGTTCTCAAATTAACTGATAATGATTAGGATAATCGTTTCATCTTTACAGAGCCTGTTGAATTTGACATTGCCCAAATCCTCTGGATTCCAGCCTCTCAACAGGAAACATTCTCAGATTTCTGTCATCCTCCATAAAAGCAGGCTGATTATCTTTTTTTGTTGAATTAAAAAAAAAAAAAAAAACATTTGTTCTATTTGCCACAGATCAAACCGGTAACTGAATCATAATGAATTTTCGTGCATTTTCTGCACTCTCAACTTGAAATAATGTCCCACTTTTGAATACCATGATGGAAATTACAACTTATTTTTTTGACCTGATTAAACAAAATATTAATTGATTATCCAAATAATCGGTAGTTGCAACCCTACCAGTGTGTGTTAAATCAATCAATCAAAGAGAATAATGGAATCTCTAATCTGAAAGTGTACATTCCATATATTTTTTTTTTTTTGATCGGCCAGTGGTACAGTGATCTTAACACAGTCCAGAGAACTGTCTGTGCTCTCCAAAACACTTTTCATAAGGTCTGCAGTTCAAAATTTTATATGAGATAAACAAATATTAGGATATTCTCGGTTAGGTCAAAATTGCCAACACATCGCATGTGTATGGAACATGAACATGATGCAGTGGTTGAAATCTTCCTTCTTCCTTACTGGGCCTTTTTATCACATCACTCATCCAGGTGAGACGCAGGTCCTGGCACAAGTTTTGAACTCCTCTGGAGCCGACGATGCCCACAATGGACTCGTGGGAGTTCTCGCAAGTAGCCACCAGCCCGAAATCCCCAGAGGGCCAGATAGCTGGCAGGCCGCCTTGCTGGTCTACAGCAGTGACGACAACCGTACGTCCACCAGCACGAATGTTGTCACCGTGTCCCTGAAAGGACTGGAGCCGCACGCAGGTGGATCGCATGCATATGGTTATTCTGTTCGATAAGATTACTATAAGAATTGCTCTCGGACTTTTATATCTGCAAGTAAGCGGTTGTTTAAAATGCCCAAGTCCTCTTTATTTGGTACTCAGGTCTTGTCTATGTCACATATCTGATGGACAATAACGTGAGTAACCCCTATCAAGAATGGCAGAACATGGGAAGCCCGGTCTACCCCACGACAGACCAGTTCACAAAGCTCAGGAACGTCCAGGTTTGTTCATGGCTGTATTTTATGAAGATCATATCTTGATTGTGTGTGTTTGTACCAGTACCTGCGATCTCAATATGAGCCAAATGAGGAACTAGCGATAGAAATATGATGATATTTTTGCAATGGGCGGCCCGGTGGCCCAGTGGTTGGCGTGTCAACCTCACAGTGCAGAGGTACCGGGTTCAATTCCAGCTGCGGTCTCCTTGTGTGGAGTTTGCATGTTCTCCCCGGACCTGCGTGGGTTTTCTCCGGGTACTCCGGTTTCCTCCCACATTCCAAAATGATGCATGGCAGGCTGATTGAACACTCTAAATTGCCCCTAGGAGTGAGTGTGAGCATCTGTGTTCGACTCTGTGTGCCCTGCGATTGGCTGACAACCAGTTCAGGGTGTCCCCCGCCTACTGCCCAAAGACAGCTGGGATAGGCTTCAGCACCCCCCGTAACCCGTGTGAGGAAAAGCAGATCGGAAAATGGATGGATGGATTTTTGCAATGATGCCAAAGTCCCAATCAATATCACACTATCTACGCAATTGAAGAAAAGACAACGTGATAATGGCCGCAACTGTTCAAACTCATCAAACAGCATATCTATTTAAAGCGGATGTTATATATTTTAAACTACAACTCCGTATTCCATCGGTCATAAAAGGAGGAGGAAGAAGATAAAACGTATTTAAATCCTCCCCTTAGATAAATTATCCATCAAGAATTGCAATCTAAAACATCTATACTATTATAATGGATGATATCCATCTAGACAGGACCACAAAAAATAAATCATTGGGAGTTGGGGGGGCAGAAAAGCGGTCAGTATCTGCTGTGACCACCTTTTTCCTCACGCAGTGCACCGGTTTTATTGCACAGGTGTGCCTTGGGCTACCTCAGATACTGTACCTCCTCCATATATAGGATGTCATACGTTGAGATTTGTAGTTCCACCCACTGTAGTTTTATTCTTGTCTGGAGTTGTATTAATATGCTACTTTGTCAGGACCCTCTTGTTGATGGACCGCAACCGGTGCCTGCAGGTGACACTCTGACTTTGAAAGCAAGACTGCATATTCCCTCTGTGCTGCTGATACATGTATGTGCCCGACCCAAAACTGCTCCAAACCAGGTCAGTAGTTCTTCTGAGTGATGCGGTGGATTTATAAAGCGTTTTTTGTCAAAGTTCAGCACATGCTCAATGTCAATGAAGCACAAGTTGATCAAGATGAGCTGAAGGTGGATATCAAGGATGTGAAGTAAATGCGTAGCTGTCTTAATTTAAGTCCTGAGTTCCAGAGGTAACGTGTCATTTTTGGGCTTGACGTGTGTTTTATTTGCCCTTCAAGGTCAATGGTTTGCGTTTTATCAGGATCACCAAAGGCCAAGTCCTCGTTATCTGGTCTGATGGCTGTGTTAGTTCCAAGTGGGTGCATGATCTCAATGAGATGTTTTGTGTGTGTGCGCGCACTCCCAAAAGCATTCATATATTCTTTGCAGATGCATTCACACCTTTGAAGTTGAGCTCTCTGTAAATCAGAAGGACTTCAGCAGGATTAATAGCCACAACACCATTTTTACATCATTCGTTTACTCACCTGGTAAGATGTTTTTGTGTTTTGGTCATTGTTTAACATAGCAATATGTTATGACGAGTTATTGTCAGAGGTACACGGCGAACAAAAAGTTTAGGATGGTCTGCTTATGGGTGAAATTTTAGAAATAACCTACTTTGTACTTAATTGGACTTTTTCTCTAAGCTGCTGAATGGTGCTGCTAAATCCCTAACTTTTTGTGAGTTATGAGTAGTGTCGATGCTAAAAATTCCTTATATTTCTGGGTTACCATATAGCACATTTTAACCTCAGTGAAACACTTTTTGTAGTGATCAACAAGATTCTGGAATAATTTTAACCAACCAAAATTGGAAAAGCAATTTGGATTGGAAAAAGCGTGCTAAAATTAAGCTTCTAATTCTGAATTGTGATGCTGACTTGCATGTTGTGTTGCTCAGCGGACCAGCAGGTGAGCGGCTGGTACAGAGTGCGAGCGGTGGACTACTGGGGCAGGCCTGGGATGTACTCACTGCCTGAGGAGTATTCAGAGGAGCTTTAGACGTGTGTCTCTCTCTCTCTCTCTCTCTCTCTCTCTCTCTCTCTCTCAGCGCTTGCTGCGCGCGCGCACGCACACACACACACACACACACACACACGCACGTAGAAGACATTCATCTCATCTGTTTAGCCCATCCGTGCAGTAATGTTTGGAATATCAAATGGGTAGTCTTTTGTGGTTTGCTGTCATTGTCATAGATTTTATTTTTTGATAAAATCATTTTCAAAACACAGTGATCCTTGCATTTGTTTTTTGTTTTGTTTTTTTTAATAAAATGTACTCCAGAATGATGGAACAGTACAGATTTCATCCATCTGTGTGATAACGACAAGACTGTTAAGAGGGGGCGGGGGTGTTGTGTCATCTTGTTCAGGCAAACACAAAGGACGTTTTTTTTCTCTCTCTTTATCTTGGCAACTGCATTATATTACATTGCGGCGTTCTGCCATGACAACGGAAACAATGATGACAATTTTACACAAGACAGGATTCTTCTTGTATCTTGGGTTAGCTTTAATGGTGTATTGATTTCATGCCCACCACGATGACTCATGAAGTTCTTTTTCTCCAGCTGCTGATTGCGACATGTTTAGCAAGCTCCTGATGAGAAGGACAACAATCAATGGATTATAGTTCAAACGTCCACCTTGGTTATGACACCTAAAATAAATCCAAAATTGTGCCTAGTGCAGGAGTGAACACGTACCGGACTGCAGCACAGGCTGGAATTGACCCGCCATGCAGATTTCCTCCTGTTTTTGGCGCACGACTCTCTGGATAGGAGGTGGGAGGCCGCGGGGGTTGCGGGAGAAGACCAAGGCGTAGCCGTCCTCGCAACTTCCGTCCTCCTTCAGGCTGCGGCAGGCGTAGGTGATGGCGTAGTTATCGTAGTCGGTGTCAATGATCCAGTAGTTGTCACCTAGAGGAGCACAGAGCACATGCTGAGGCCGAGACGTGTGTGTGTGTGTCTGTATGTGTGCATGCACATTGATCCTGCACAATTTACCCTTTCAGGGACAGCGGTTACTACAGTGGACAGCTTTATCATGTTATCAGGTTACAGGGTGCATGAAAGGGTTAAATTCTCTTCAATTTAATGCAACTGTTGATTCCAGTATTTCAGTTCTAATACTGAACAGCATAGGATACAGCTAGAATCCATGCAAGACTTGCATCCATCCATTTAGTATAACCGCGAGTCCTCAAGAGGGTCGCTGGTGAGCTGAGGCCTATCCCAGCTCATTTTGAGCAAGAGGCGGGCTACACCCTTGACAGGCTACCAGTCAATCGTAATTTACGGTCAAACAACCATTTATGCTGATGTCCACCCGGACAATTTAGCACTTTCAGTTAACCTAAACCAGAACCTCTCTCAACTGTGAGACTGACATGTTGAGTACTTTCCCGGTAAGCTGTTCCGATTCAATTTTTTTCCAAGTGGCAATTGAAATAACACACACGCACACACACACACACACACAAAACATTAAAAAACAAAGTAGAAAATATATTCTAATCGTAATGAAATTATTATTAGTATCAGTAGTGTTAGTTGTACTGTAATAGTAAATTATATACAAAGAAGCAATACAACATAAAGAATAATAATTGCAAGTGTGCATTGTTCACATAAAGTAATGATTCAGCTACTCCAGACCGTGTGAGTATATGTGTGCATGTGTGCAAGATTTATTGCCCCTACCTCCACTGGACAAATAGCTGGCCAATCCCTGGTAGTTCATGAACATCTTGCCTGGGCTTTCAGGGTCTGGCACAGAATACTGAGCGGCCATGTCAGCGCACACCACCCAGAACCTGAACGTCGTATAAGGAATTAGAAATTAGCAAGCGAGAATTTCAGTGCTTGAACAAGTAGATGCATGGGCAATAACCACTACTGACCCAAACAGAGTGACTCTGCCCCTGGAGGAGGCCACCATAGCGCCATCGTCTCCAACAGTGTACTCAGCAGAGATGTTGTCCTGAAGGAACAAACCCTCAGGATCCTTCTTCTGCAAGGCATACCACTTGCCTGCATACTGATGGCAAAAATAAAGATCCTTTTAGAACCATTCAAAACACAAAATACTTCTCTTCTGTACCTGATACCGTCACTCCATACACTAAAAGAAAACATGACAATATCTGTACTTTTTTATCTGACTTTTTCAACTGTTAAAATAGACTAGTTACTATTTTCATCCTCCGCAAATGATGACACAACGTGAAAAGAATTTTAACTGCCTGATTAAGATATCTGAGACATACGGTGGAAGAAATAGGCGGAGCAGCGACATGCAGGAATGTGAACTGAGGAACGTGAATGACATTGACCCAACAGATTCACAGAAGCAAAATTTTCCCCCTCCCATCGACTTATTTGAGAACATTTTTTGATTTGGTGGGCTCCAAGAATGATTTGAATGATTTTCTCCAAGATGTTTTGCTTTGTGCCAGCATGAACACTACCATCGTCAATCTCATCATCACCATGGCAACAAGACGATGCTGTTGGCATGCTGCTGGGCCAAAAAAGGTCAAGACTCATGCGTGCACACACTTATGATCTCACAAATGCAACACACAACAATAGTTGGCTCCTCCGACAACCCCTCTGCCTTTCTATTATGGCGCACCTGCAGATGAAATGTGGTGGCGCCCTGATGGCTCCGAATCCTGCCGCCTGCAGGGGGACTGTGACCCAAACACTCCCCACCCATTTAAGTACAGTATGACTGTTTGCTGAGGGGTTTTTTTCCCACATCCATACTGTGCTCACCACACTGGAGCTCAGTCTGGAGTTGTTTTTTTCCCCCCTCCGACCCCTCTTTATGCATTCATTTCAAGTATCAAGTACAACTTTATTGTCAACTGTGCCGTATGTTTCATCTGCGAAAATGGGGGGCTTTAAAAGGCGATCCGGCGGACTCTTGTTCTGTATACCCTTGTTGGTCATTGGTTTTCGATGTTTCTCCGATAGGTTGTGTCTGTTTCATTTTTTTGGACCCTTTGGTAGAATGACAATAAAGCTATTCTGTTTCTGATCAGTTTCTAGTGTTCAAAAATTCTCTCTCTTCTTAAAAGAGAAACGGATGCCATTGACGGTGTAAAACATTTTTGTACCTCTTACTTTTGTGCTTAAGATAAAAATATTTTTCAGTCTGTACTTTTTTTAATGATCTACAGGAGTGGAATCAGTGCTTCTATTTTTACCGGTTCAGTAGCTGTGCTTCTACTTCAGTACAAAGTGTGAGAGCTTCTGCTACCTCTGAGTAAATTACAAAGTAATCTAGTACACAGTTGACGCACTCCCTTCTGAATGTTTTCCTTCATGAAACAATGCAGACTTACTCTTTTGGGGTCAAAGTCCTGTTTGACGGTGAAGCTGTCCACCACGCAGCTGGCCATGCTCTGCTCCACGCTGGCCAGAAGCAGCATGACCACGGCAAACATTTGGAAGTCCATTCTGGGCAAAGACAAGTAAGCAACATGCGTTTGCTTCATGTTTCAAATGAAGATTCTGGAGTTGCGCCTCTTCTCTGCGGGTCTGGCCCGTCTGTCCCAACAAAGCTGCATCACCTTACCTTGTAGGGGGAGCGGCAAGATGAAGCAGGAAGGTCCAATTCAGAGTTGTGAGCGACAAGTCGGCATTGCAGTTTTTATACCTGAAACACACCTGACTCTCAGTTTATTTTCATGTCTTGAACCTAAATACAGAATTTAAATCTACCCTTAATCCATTTAACCAAATCCCCCGCCGTAAGCTGCTGAGTGCTTGCATTCAGCAGTGTATGGGCTTTATGTAATTGTTTGCAGAGCTACATAATAACATACATAATGATTGGTGTGCTGGGTTGGCCTGAGCATTCGTCCGATCCTCAGGCCACGTCCGTGGCTGCATTAAAAACATTTATGTGAAATTTATTGGGGACAAAAAAAAAAAAAACAGCACCGGCACACTTTTGATTTGTTTACACTTGGACGACATATTCACAGTTTCGTTCAGGCAGCATGATGGTGGTCAGCGCGTCTGGCTCACAGCTACAAAGTTTGAATCTTTGCCTTCCTTTGTGGAGTTTGTAAATGCGCTACGTGTGTTTTCTTTTCGGGGTTTTATGTGTTTGCTCAATCAGGGGTGTCAAATCCATTTTCCGTGTTGACCACACCACATTTATGGTTTCCTTCAGAGGGCCTTGATATTAGGATCCCTTTATTGTATTTTTGCATACTCACAATTGACCCTGCATTTCATTATTACAATGTTCAACTAATTTTTACTTTTTTTTTCATCAAAGATGCGAGTAAATATTCCAAGATGTTTGGGTTTTTTTGCATTGATTCTGAATCTTCCCTCATTTTATTTTTTCTGGAACACATCAGGTTTTCACTGTATAATTGTATAATAACAAAATAACAATGGCTCAGTGGCTGAGTGGACTTTCATTTTTAAATGAAAGTCCATTTACCATTCAATAATAGAATATGTGATATCGTAACATATTTATGAATTAAGGGTTAGGTTCAGCACTTTTTTTAATAGCTGTAAATTACAACGCATGGTAAAATCCATCTTGCGCAAGCTTTTAGGTGTCAAACTTAAAAACAAAACAATAAAAAAATACCTAAAAACCTGATGCACTACATAAAAAAATAAAAATAAATAAATAAAAACTAACTGAGATGCTGACATAACTGATATCCGTTGCTACTGTATTTGTAAATTGTGTTCAAATTACACTCACGTGCCCTGCAATCTATGAAGCCATTTTTTGACAGAACAGGAAAAATGGTCTTGATGTGGCTATTTTTAAGACCGATTCATTCAGGGCAACTGTAAGGTTATGCCAGCGGAAGCTCAGGTGATCAAATCTTACTTGTTCAGTTTGGTAACGTCTATAAATAGCGGCAGGCATACCTCGACATGCTGTTGAACGTTACAATACCGTACTGGGGAGAAGGCAAACCTTTTTTTCCCCCTCTCACAGGCCACATTGTAGTTTTGGTTTCCCTCTGAGGGCCAATATGACTGAAAGCACCTACATGTACTGTATAATCACACCAGCATATTATAATTGATGCATGCCAAGTTTTTAACGAGTTAGACTAATTTGTTCAGTGTACGTTACTAAACGTGAAGACAACTTGCAATTTTCTGACAGATTTTTGCAAGAAACTTGATGTAGATGTATTACGATTTGTTTTAGCGGGCCACGTGCAATCAGTGTGGTGGGCTGGATCTGGCCCCCAGGCTTAAGTTTGACACCTGTGATAAACTTTGGCGTTAAATGTATACTGACTAAATATACCAAAATACAAATTCTAATTGAAGCAGGAAATGTATTGGTCGATTCATGAATCAAACACCTTCTGTGAATTTTACATTTCAGCTCCTTGTTAAAGAAGAGCAAGTTGGGCAAAAAAATACTGAAATCCAGAACAGTTTGACATATGCCCATTCAAAATTTTAGCAAAGTTCAAACTACGCTCACCTGCAAACGCGATGGTGCATCTGGAGCTCATCGTGAAATTTCAATCGAAAGCTGAATTGCTAATACAACGGTAATACTAAAAATTCCCCTGGACATTTGCAACTATTTTTGACGACAGAAGGTGAGCGCTAAGTTTAGCCAAAGGAATAGCTTTGTGCACGCCGCACCGCTATTATTGGCAAGCTGCACTGAGGCATTATCCAAGACTGATTGCTGACTTGGGCTGATCCAGTTGAAGACGCGCGCCTTCTTAACGGGACGTGACCTCACGTTGTCTGGACCGGCGTCACGTCAGGTCACTTGTCAACAGAAACCAGTCACATGACGTCTAGCAGAATGTCAAACTTATGAACTCATTTGAAACTGCATCACACCAAAGCAAGCACATTTAGAAAAATGATCATTAGTTCAGTACTTTTTGCAGTGTGGTCTGCCGTGAAATTTCTCATGGAAAACGGGTCCCTCGGCTGAAATGAGGTTTATTGGGCCGCTCCGACCCAATCGGTTTCTTTGCAACCATCAACAAATAAAGAATCCAGTCTCGACAAAAAAAAAGCAAGTGCATATTAGTGGTACCACTCTACATTTATTCAAGCAACTTCACAGTCTGTGAGCAAGTCTGGGACATACAAAGTGAGAACTGTTGTTGTTAAAAAGTGCATTCTTAAATTCAATAATGTACCAATGGCTGGGGAAAAAAATAGTGCGGGTGGATGGGGTTTAGCCATGCAGACATTTTCACAAACAAGCGTTTAAGGGCCAATTATTTACATGATTAATTTATCAACAGGAGTAGAGGCGGGCAATCCGGAGAAATAAATTATCCCTAAACAACAGTGTCGATATCTACAACATGGGAGCGTTCGAATGGTTGAGCACCGACGTTGCCCGTTCCAAAACAACGAGGGAGAAGTTTGGAAGTGCGCACGTAAGTAAAGTTTCATTTCAGAATGGTGTCTTCATTTGCTGTAACGACAAAGTCAAATATGATTAGCAGAACATTAAACAGTTTCAGTTTCACAGTTCAGCATGCCCAAAAGATGCCTAGTACGTATTGATTACCCTCTGCAAGCTGCTTGGCAATGCGCTCCTGTTCCTCACGAGCCTTCTTCTCTTCCTCTTCAATCCTCCTCTCCTCAGCTGCAATCGGCTTCAAGTGATCTGAACAGAGAGGCATGCGGTCAAAGCGGGTGGGATGTATTGACATTGATGCTCAGTGGTGAAGCATGCTTTAGAGTAGTGGTCCCCAAACTTTGTTGCGTCACGGACCAATTGAGACAAGTACATGCTGCCAGCTTTCAAGAATTGGTACTGATAGCTAGCTCTGGCTAGCTATTAGCGACTAAACTGCTAATGTTTATGTGGGCAGGCTGTGCTTACTCTGCTCGCATTTTTTCATGCTTTCCACTTGATCACTTGGGCGCTACTTGTTCATGTGATTCAACGGGTTTTTTGTATTGCCTTGTTTTTGTCGACATAGCATGCACAACAGCTTTCTGTACGTCACTCTGGAGATAGTGCTAGGGGCAGGGGGGCGGGGAACTTCTCTTGTCAAAATACTTTCAACTTCGGAAGTCACGGCTCCCCATCAGCTGCGCATATAGCTGTACGTTTGGTCGATTTGTTACCATTACTTTCAGTTTACTGCTTCTTCTTTCATTTATTGGCAGATTCTGTTGATTTCAACTTGCAAACCAATATTAGAAGGGGACTCCAATTGGCTAGATGGGGCACATTCCCGCCACGTCTGATGGAGTACATTTGCTCACAACTCGCAGGTCTGTCTGTGTGCAGCTCAGTCCCAACTGGGCTGAGGCCCGGTACCAGTCTGTGGACCGGTGGTTGCGGACCCGCGCTTTAGAGGACAACTTACCATATCGCCTCTTGCCATATATGATGCCAGCGATCAAAGCTGAATACCTGGCAGTCTGGAAACAACATGTGAACACACCGGTACGTCAGAAGGCCATTCTCACACTTTAGTCTGAGAGTAGCAAGAACTCACTATCACCAAAAACTATTAATTCAATTGGACATATTGAAATAGCCATACATATTTCAAAAATATCAGATGACTGTTTATTGATCAAGGTGCATCCTAATACAGTTCACTTTTCATAATAGTTTTCGCAATGCATGTACATTATAAAAGATCCAGCCTCCAACAACAAAGGGTTTGAACTAGGGATCTAACAATACGTTTTGTTGTGTTTTTTTTACCGATAACCTTGCAGATTGATATTAGGCCAGTTCGATACGAAGCGATATATCGCTTATGGTGAATGATACTATTCAATATGATAAAAGTGATTTTGTTTCAATATTTTGATATGGTAACAATAGCTTTTTTGAAAATAAACCTACACTAATCAAAGGTAACTAAAAAAAAATCCTCCCCCCATTGGAATTCATTTTAAAAACTGAGATTTACTTATTCCAAAATAGAAAAATATCAGAACAGGCTAGTGTTTTTAAACATGATTTTACCTTAATATCAGAATAAACTGGTTCTTTCTATGCATTAAAACATCCATGTAAACATAATCTTTTGATAAATCGCTTGAGATTTGTGAACAATATTCAACATTATCTTTTGAGGACCAAAAAAATAATCATAATAATTACAGAGTATATTCTCACATTAAATTAACCTGATGCTGTGATTGTTGTCCTTACAGAACAACTGCATGTAACAGTACACAATTTTGCCAAAGGCTCGCATATTCTTTTTCTAAAATATCAGATGTTATGTTGTCTGGCTGCAAGCCAGTTCTCTGCGTGCTCTCAATGAGCCTCATTTACTTAAGTACGCACCAATTTGTGCACAAAACATGCGTATGCAATAATAAGTAATTATTTGAGCAGGAGGAATTAAATGGTTATATTTTTTAATAAATAAGGCAGCAACACCTTGTTGGTGTGCCCCATTAACTTGCACGGCAGTCGCCACTGTTCTTTCATTCAGTTATGTTTCTGTTTGTGATGCCGGATGAGACGCGTTGACATGATATTGCACTTGGCATTTTCAAAGACTATACTGTACACGACAACCATCTTGTCAAGACCATCTCCTTTCTTGCAAAATCCAAAGCGCTCACACATTGCATCGACTTAAACATCTGCTCTTCCTCGCCGCCCAGATCCATGTTGCGTGCTTGACTTAAATCCCAAATACAGTATTAGACTAACACTGTACTGTATTCTACATAGTGTAGTAGACAATCCGCATGTACTGTTATTGACGCTCTTCATTGGGGGTGGAGTCCAAAAAGTATTTTTTTAAAACCACACCAATAAACTATTATTTTGGGGTAAACAAACCTTAATCAATGGAGACACCGCAACCGGGGGAGCCATGGCTTCACAACAGGCTAGCAGCAGACAGCAAACAGCAGCGAGAAGTCACTTTGTCGCCGCGAAGGATTGTGGGAGGAGAAGGTGACTTCTTCATATAGTGCGGTTGGGTAGCGACAGGTTATTGTTAAAGTGCTGCCATCTTCTGGACATTCACAGAGTAGTTTAATTACTGTTCCTTGACTAAATTAGTTTTACTCATTCCGTCAACAAGGTTGTTATTCATTTTACTCAAATTAGTTTTACTCATTGAAACTCACAGAAATGTTATTATTAATCTATTGATTAAAACTCCACCCGTTTTAAAACGAGTTTTATTTTTTAAAGAAAAAAACGGGCCTTTATGGTTTGAAAACATAATTAAGAGAGTTAAATCAACTGGTTCTATAAAGTGTAATTACTGTAAGTACTGTGCAATTTGTGTGTTGTATTTGTGCCTTGAAGGGGCGAATCAGTGGCTCAGGGAGTGACATCAGATGAAATTGAGTTGGCAGGTTAGCAGTGGCGGGCCGTGCATTTCAACCTTAGGCCTTCAGTGACGTCACATACATACACAATATAGGCTCGTCAAGCAGCACTTAATTTCAGGAGCATTTAAAACCATCAAGTATGCATTCACAATTAAGAGCAGGAAACTAAATTTACAGATAGTCAAAAATAAAAAGATGATTTAAAAATACGAAATAAAATGCCACCCAAATTACGTTGTGTGATCTTCAACAAGTCTGTCCAATAAATTGCGCAGTGTCGCAGTTTCATATAAGACACCAACCAAACAATAACAAAACAAACTATTCTTTGAAAATAAACAGATCATTCTCATTTTGAAAACCGGCGATACAACAGCAAATAACTGACATAACTGACTAACTAA